ATTCATATACTGAGCATTCATTAGTATTTACTTATCTTCATCAATGAGTATTCATTCGAACTTACTGTTGTTCTTTATTGTATATACTGAGCATTCATTAGTATTTACTTATGTTCATCAATGAGTATTCATTCGAACTTACTGTTGTTCTTTACTGGTTCTTTACTGTATATACTGAGCATTCATTAGTATTTACTTATGTTCATCAATGAGTATTCATTCGAACTTACTGTTGTTCTTTACTGGTTCTTTACTGTATATACTGAGCATTCATTAGTATTTACTTATCTTCATCAATGAGTATTCATTCGAACTTACTGTTGTTCTTTATTGTATATACTGAGCATTCATTAGTATTTACTTATGTTCATCAATGAGTATTCATTCGAACTTACTGTTGTTCTTTACTGGTTCTTTACTGTATATACTGAGCATTCATTAGTATTTACTTATGTTCATCAATGAGTATTCATTCGAACTTACTGTTGTTCTTGACTGGTTCTTTACTGTATATACTGAGCATTCATTAGTATTTACTTATGTTCATCAATGAGTATTCATTCGAACTTACTGTTGTTCTTTACTGGTTCTTTACTGTATATACTGAGCATTCATTAGTATTTACTTATGTTCATCAATGAGTATTCATTCGAACTTACTGTTGTTCTTTACTGGTTCTTTACTGTATATACTGAGCATTCATTAGTATTTACTTATGTTCATCAATGAGTATTCATTCAAACTTACTGTAGCTCTTCACTGGATACACTGAACATGCATTAGTATTTACTTATTTTCATCATTTGGATGAAATGGAGTACAGTAGAACCTCCCAATCTGAACACTTTTTTCGGTCCCATTTTTTCCTCCCATTGACTCCCATGTTAAAAAAACCTTGAAATGTGAACACCTCCCAATTTGAACAGTGAACAGTCATATTTGAAAAATTCACCTGTTTAATCTGAACACTTTTCATAAAATTTCTGATGTTTCATACAAAATTGCTCAACATGATATCAAAACTTTGGCAAATAATCTTGAATGGTCTCATTCATAATGAGGCTTTCCAGCATGACTAGATTCATTTGAATCAAATTTTCAAATTTCTGGAATGCATAAAGTTATGTGGTCAAATGATCTAAAAATATTTACCGAGGATGAATATTGCGAATGCAAAAACCTTGAAATGTGAACACCTCCTAATCTGAACGCTTTTATCCAGTCCCAATGGCGTTCGGATTAGACAGGTTTTACTGTATGTACTAACTGATGTTATTCATTTGATATAGTTGGCCTAATCTTTTATTGCTATTGATACTTCATAGAATATTAATTTTTACCAACGTTTTGTATTGAATGTGAACAGTTTTAATTGACAACTGACCTTTGTTGACAATGGCAATGGCAGTGATAAGGCAACTTTTATTCTGTTCTGGATAGACTCAATCTTTTTTTTGTTTTGCTTAAGGTGTCCTATAATGCTGCTTATTTTTTCGTGAAGCCACTCAGTAAAATTATGATTTCTCTGCACCCTGATGTCGTATTAACATCATTCGAGTATCTATGTGTTCCTGACACGTTTGGGCATCCGGTAATGACAACGTCTACCCAATGTTTGCACGCGAAATTGACGCAATTCATGACTGAAATCGGGAAGACAAAAATATGTGATATTCTTTCAGAATTGTTTATAATAACTATTTACAAAAATGTTCCCGAGACACAAAGACTAAGGTTTGTTTCAAAGTCCAAAAGGCCCAATTAGACAATGCAAACCCAGATAAAACCCGGAAGACTGCAGATTTCATGTAATAATTTAATACATTCATGTAAACAAGTAAAGTACATATACTCATATAAAACACTGGCCTACGTGACTGGCCTACCCCTCTACCTGCTTAATAAGGCAATGTATCTTCAAATAAAACCTTAGTCAAATAGATTAGAGTCTCTGGAACACTTTTGTAAATAGTTTTCACAAGCAATTTTGTTTGTGAATCTCAAATTTTGTCTTCCCGATTTCAGTCATGAATTACGTCAATTTTGCGTGCAAACATTGGGTAGACATTGTTCTTCCCGGACGCCCAAACGTGTCAGGAACATATAGATACTTGAATGATCTTGATTGGACATCGGGTTGCAGATAAACAGTCATTCCAGATAGTAATGCCCCAATCGCAATTTTTCTGTCGCCGTGTATTTTCTCTTAAATAACCCCGCGCCTGTAGTGTTAATCATTATGGTTGTACCATGGCCTTTTACCAAGTTTATAAAAAGATAATGTGATGATGTTTTCCTTAAAAACAAGGAAATGCACACATGCCATCATACTTTATTTTCAACAGAAAGTAACGTGTAAGTAACAAGTATATTAATTTTTTCAAAAATGTTTTCGTTACACCATGCCATTACCTTAAGCGGTACCACACACCCAGAGTAGAACTCCCCCTTTAAAACGTTTGTTTCTTGCTTTGCCTCGCGGAGTGCAAAAAAATGAACCCCAGAGTAAGCAGAGTAAGAGCTCTGACTCAGACGAACCCTATGATAATAGAGCAGCTGTTATGCACATAATCGACAATTATACTGCTGCAGTCTATGATGGTGCTTGGTACATTGGAAAAGTAGTTAATGTGGATGGCAGCTACGAAACATCATTTATGATTAACAGACGGGGGTATTTCCAGTGGCCTTCACCAGAACATCTACTCATGGTAGAAAATGCAAACGTTCTTTGCCAAATAGTGGATTTGATTCCCAAGTGGGGGAATGCAAGAATGTTTAAGATTACCTAAACTGATGATGAGGTATTTGCCTCAAATATTGAATCAAGAGACAATGACGTCTGATATGTTGTTTTGGACAGATATGATTTGAAAATACGTTTTACTGTAAACATTTACTAGTTCACGTTGACAGAACTGTTTTAGCGACGTCTCTAGAGATTTTGATTTGAGTGATAAAGTTGTTATAAGAAGTTTAAGTTTTACATAGACAATATCTGCTCTCGTTATCTAATGACGTCGACTATACTGTTTCTTAACAAGCGTTACCAACATTTGCTGATTCAGTGCTAGGATAAGGGGTCTATACCAAGTACATTTAGCACCATTATTATTCACAATATGTACTGTAATGATTCTGTTTTCATTGTAATGTATTCTTGTTCATATTTAATGACACATGAAGCTGGTGTTAATCTACGTTACCGTTCGTTTGAATATAGTACGCAAATACTATATTTTACATGAACATAGCGTGTTTTCATAAAATGAGTTTCTCTTATATAAAACGTATATAAAACGGACCAAGTTAATTCTTTGGAAACCACTATATTGTGCAACTGATTGAATTGAAAATGTCAGCTCCCATGAATTAATCTACGTTACAATATAGGTATGTTCAATGCTTGAGTTTTTTTACAAATAGATAACCATGACAGTATTCAATATTAGTGTTTAACAATGCAGAGATATACTCCTTTGCTCTGCTAAAAAGTATTAAATTGAGGCAATGGTCACAAAAGATTCACGCTTAATGATTGACTGACAAACATTTTGGAAATTACAATTTTAAGGACAAAAATATAAAATATTTGTAATTGAGCAAAATAGTTCAAAAGCCAACTATTATTAATCCTCCTGATAAGTATCAGTACCCTAATGTCTGTACTTTAAGGTAGAAAAACATTTTATTTGGTAGCACTGTCATAAATTAAGAAATATTCAAATCAATTAAGATGGTCCCTATAACGTAATTTAAAATGGCATAAAAACTTAAGTTGTGTACCACATATTTCAAATCAAAATTACTTCGAAACCAAGAGAGTCTAAAAGCCAATTTTTTAGTATTATGCTGTAGACATATAACATCATAAAATAACAAGATATGAAGTGAAACGGAGGAACTTTATTTTTATCATTTTCCGAAAACCGATTGGGGCATTACTATCTGGAATGACTGAAATCGTAATTTTACCGAGTGGCTCCACGAAAAAATAAAAAGGCTATACACCTCGTAAAGATTCTCGCAATCTTTATCCAATCAGCGTTTGCGAGTGTGTCGGCTCACGTATAAAAGGCGAATCCAACTCAAATCCATGCAGGGGTGTATGAGGTACTCGAATAGGAAAGAGCTCGTGAAATCTGAATTTATATGCACATGGTCAATGTTTACACATGTTTGGAGTTATTGAAGAAAATGTGATATGGGTGTGGTTCCGAATTGGAAGTCATTGCTGGAAAATATGATTTTAATACGTGAAATTATATCTATAAATATAGCACTAAAAATAACAGTACACATGACGTACATGTATGATTGTGTTCAGAAATGTTTGAAACCCTTACGGAAAATTCTGTCTGCATTTTGTAACCATTGCTCTTTCTTCCAGCATTCTAGTGCTGTTTGAATGAATATATTAATTAATGTATTTCTAACTAAAACATATCACATTTTTTTATAAACCACAAACATTTAGATCATAAAAAAATATTCAATACTTGAGTGAGCACGATATGCAAGGGTTACTAAGTTGACACAGTAAATGACCACTGATATTGTGTTAGTCCATGCACACAGCGTACACCCCTCACTTTCATAGTGAAGTGACTAATTGGTTTATGTTTACGTTTTAATGTGTTTTGGGTTCCTTGTTACAGCAAGGGGGGCCAGTAAAGTAGACTAACATGTTTGCATGGCAAATTTTGATCGAATATGTGAGACACTTTAAGGTTATTCTTTCCAAACAACATTTTTGAAAAAATGCTATACCTGCCCATGTTATTTTCTGGTACGAAATAAAGTATGAAGGCATGTGTGTATTTCCTTGCTTTTATCAGGAAGGTATCCTTGCAATGTCTTCCTTTAGTAAACCTGGTAATACAATAAAAAATACTACAAAAATATACCCGAGAATCTCTTTAAGGGCATCATGATATACCATGACATCTCATTTCTTCTCAGCCCAGGTGAAACAGAAAGATGCTATGCGTATCAGAATGCTTTAAGGGGATAAATTCGATGTTCGACTTGTTATCTTAAATAGAGGAAATTTAATGTTCATCTTCTTGTGAGAAATTGCGTGTTTTAAGTGGTAAGTTTCTTTGGCAATATCTGTACCGGAACATTTTGGACTCCATGCCTCTTCTAGTTCCCACATTGTGACGTTGTGACTTGTTATCATTTGTTGATACATGCATGGGTCAAAAGGCACCTTGTCATTGTAAAAGCCCCTCAATCTACGCAGTGTATATCCCAATTTCTTAATGCAAATGGCTACATAAATGTCTTCTAGGAAGAAATACGGTATATGTGGAGAGACGCCGACAATGGCCTGCATGACGCTCATGGTGGTGACGTATCCAGTTCCCGAACAGAAACCCGGGTATTTGGAATGGGGATATTCGAGTGGACTAACGTACCACCTGGAATCCTTTTCTCGATGGACATCATCAACTGGAAGACAGAATCCTACAACTTCTTTCGAAATATGCCACCTGTCTAAATTCTTTAACAGTTTTGGAGTGTTCACCCACATGTCGTCATCTGTTTTCATAATATATTTGGCGTTCGGGCAAAATCCAGCGGCCCATTGAAAACCAGATATTGTCTTTAAAGTGAGGTTTTTGTAAACTTCTCTAAAATCGCTGATGACGATATCTCCATAGTGCTTTGCTTCAGCCAAGGCTTTTTTATTCCAGTTATGGTCGTCATGTTTCCCCAAAAGAAAGACGTATCTGACCCTCGCTGTGTTATTTTCTGCAATACTAGTCCATGTCTTACGCAGTGCCTTCCGATTCCTTGTTTTTTCATGAGTTGTAAAAATGAGCAATAGTAGTTTCACGTCTTGTGACCTTGGATGCTCCGTTGAGCAGACGTTATAGTTGGGAAAAATGTAAGAAGATTTGGGGAAACACGATACACATTGGTCTGGTCTTGCTGTTGGTTTAAGCGCTTTTTTGGCATGAACAGCTTTTGTGGTCACCGACTCATTTAAATTAACCAGAGTATTTCTTAATAAATCAATTAGGGTCGATATGTTCTTTTCTTCATCAGTGATGCTTTCGAATTCAGACGTTCGTCTATTGGATGCTTTTATGACAGGCCTTGGGAGCAGCAAGTTTAAACCAATCGCAATTATAGATAATGACGATAAACAAAGAACAATAAGAAAGGCTAAGCGAATCCCTGACATTTTTCTTTCGTTATGGTGTATAATGGGCGTTGTTTCTGCAGCACGTCCTGTCTTTGCGTCATCCTAGGTTCAGTCTACATTGATTTGAGGGTGTGTAATGACTTTCACGTGAATCTATCGGTAGCCAATTATTTCCTATTTTAGGTCATCTTCATTTGAAGTAAACGAAAACATTCCAAAAGACTAATCAGTATTTTATGATTCCATGAATATAGGTTGCCCCATACAATGATATGTCCCGTGTCAATGACAGTATAAGTGCACTTGTGTATTCATAATTACCAGTACATCTTTCTGTCTCCTAGTCTAGAAAGGAACCTAAAGAAAGCTATGATTTCATGCGATCTTCTTTTATAAAGAGTGTCGAATTCCGTCCATGTAATTTATATGTGATTTAGTTTTCATCAGGTCACGGTACCCAAGGCATCACCACAAGTTTTGTCTGCCAAATGATATATGAATCATAACATAACAGGTGCTGATTCAATTATATTGAGCTATAGGGAAAAATATGTTTCTGTTGTAATGTTATTTTCCCAGTTCTCATTTTTGTGCATGTATATATCTCCAATCTGTTCCTTTACTTACAATAATCGAAAAATATTCGACGGAATTCGTGACGAACAACTGAGCAGCGAGTTGTTAATTTGACATGGTATAAACTCTACTGTATGTAAGTCCAATGTGAAGAGGCAATGAGGTTTTCTCGTCGTATAAAAAGGAATACAGAGGTATCATTATGTTGGTCGTTGTGGCTCGTTTCTTCCCATGTCGGCCTATCTATTCACATTTATTGTTTGTAATGTTTTAAAAGTTAAAAAAGCAGAGACGTTTTCATAGCAACACGATGAACAAGTGTTTTATATCCAAAACAAACCTCGCCACACAATTTAAAATAATTTTTTTAAATTCCTATAAGATGCCACGTCACTTTCATCTTTCATACTTTCATACAGCGTTTTAGACTCCATATGTGAGAGAAAATACCAAACTTAGTTTTCACAATTAATTTATTATTCAACACAACATTTTCTCTTATAGATATTTACAATTGAAATGATGATTTCAAAACTCTTTTTTATATATTTTTTTTTATTTAAAAAAATGATTTCAAAGGATGTGTCTGGGTATATGCCCTTTTGGTCCCTCAGTCAAATGTTTGTGAAATATGGTTTTTATTACTGTCCTGGTTATATTTAATAAGTATATTTACTTTTTCACGAATTTTGATGCATAATTAACCCCCTGCTGAGAGTCAGAATAAGTATCTTAACAAACAAAAAAATAGTCATTATCATAGAAAAAAACACCAATGGCAACATGTATGACATACAAAGAAGAAATAACTTAAGACCGATGAAGAATTAAAAAGAAAATCATATTTTTGAAATATATTTAAGGATTAAAAATTTTTTCAAATTTTTGAGTTTCCCGCCAGTTTAATTTGAAGGGGGAAAAACAAGATGGCTGCCATTTTATGTAAGAAATATCAGGAAAAAAGTTGCTTCACTTTAAGTTTTCACAATGAGCACAGTTTTCCGGTTTAGGTTTTTTGACTGATTCTGACTCTTCGTCACCAGGGTCATGTATAGAGATTATAAAATTGAAACCAAAATGTTGTGCTCAGCATGAATTTGACTGAAATATGGGTAACATCACCAACACAATTGAAGTCTCAAAACTGGATGCTCAGTAACTTTGAGTGACTATAATCCCTTGATTACCCAGATAAACACCAATTCACTTATCCAGAAATACCATTCAATGTATATTCAAAGAAAGTAATCAATGTTTCGGAAGATATGTTTCAAACTTTTTGCATAAATAATTCATTTAATATTTGTCATTGATTTTTTTTCAATTCTGACAAAGTGATATGCACTGTCTTTGATGCCAATATTCTTCATCAATTGTGATACAAATTGATATTTTTGTAATCTCAGAAGAAGGATAAGATATTGAAGTTTAATAATATGTGTGATTGAGTTGGTTTTTCAGACATTACAATTTTCAATATTTTCTAAGTCGATACCCAGACTCATTCCCAGACTCATCCTTTCCATGTAGAAGTACATTGATTGTTAACTTAATGTACAGAACAGAAATCTTACTTCACCCTTCTGTCAAGTATGGTCTGTACATGTATACTAAGGTTTCCATGTAAGATAGATAACCACAGTGACGTCCCTTTGGAATCTGTATGTACCTTCTTGCAATATAATGCAATATCACCCCAGGTGATTTTGTGAAATTCTATTGACTCGAGTCCTTTTGCTTTGATGTTATAGCTCTAAACTTGTCCAATGCCTATGTAGCATGGTAACAAAGATGTTGGAGTAGGCTGCCACGACATCACCGTTGACATGGTAAGTTTCTAGTTTTCGACCCTATATTTAATAGAAAAGCGAAAGATAAACAGGCTATTACTAAGTGACAAACCCTTGAGATTTTCACAGTGAGAATTTTAGTAAATAAAATGCATTCTATGAATCGTCAAAATAGTTAAATGAAATTGTAAAACATATTGTCCAATGAACAGTTGAAAGGTTTGAAACGTTCTCTTCGTGAAAATATCTCTATTGTCCGAAAATTTCAGAATTTATTCTTCAGAAACATTATATTGAAACATCGAAAGCAAAAATAGTGGCCTTGGTATTAAAGAGTATAATTATCAAGTCTGTTTATTCCCATTTTCAAATTATATAAAAATTTGCAAAACTCTAAATCTCCTTTTCAGGTTTTGTATTGGGTTCATTTACGAGTTTAAAATCTTTAATTTTAGTTGCTTCATTTTCCAATCACATTTTCAGACGTCTGGTATCCTTATTTATTTCAACATGCTCGTGTTACCACATTTGGATCATCATTAACATTTGGATCATTAAATTAGGCTGGTATCGGGAGATTTGTCCTCTGTGACGGAGCATGTTATTTTTCATAAATACACCAAGAAAACCACGCAATTTATTTTTAACTCAAATATTTCGTTATACCAAAGAAAATTATTTACTCCATGCAATGGATATATCATTTTCGGATAACTTTCACTTCTTTTTGAAGTCCAATAATGCTATGAGGAAAAGCTATTGAAAATGGCGCCGGGGTATCACACTCCAAAATGTATACCATTTCTTTTTTTCAACTTTTTAATGACACGATATAGTGACTCGATACTATTTACATATGTTTTAAGCACAAGTATTAATGAGATATTGATGTATTGTTTTTTTTCATTTTTTCATAAAAATTATGTTTATTTTTCGTCCGCTGCGACGGAGCAGTTGCAATTGTAAACTGTGAAACTGTTCCGTCACAGCGGACAAAAAAATATTTTTTATAAAACAAAATTAAAAAGACCCAATACAACCAGATCTCATTGATAAATTCAGAGTTATGGTGAAAACATATGTAGTATTATCGTGTCACTATATCATGCCATTGGAAAGTTTAAAAAGAAATGGTACATTTTAGAGTATGATACTCTGGCGCCGTTTTCAATAGCTTTTCCTCATAGCATTATTGGACTTCGAACAGAAGTGAAGGTTACCCGCAAATGATGTATCCATTGCATGGAGTATGTAATTTTCTTTGGTATAATGAAACATATGAGTTAAAAAAATAAATTGCGTGGTTTTCTTGGTGTATTTATGAAGCATAAAATGGTCCGTCACAGCGGACAAATCTTTCGATACCAGCCTGTGATTAACAGAAATATTTTCGTAAAGTTAAAAAAATGCTGATAAAGTGGTCGTGCATTGTACAGTTACCATAAGTTAACTTACCTCTTTTATGTTGCTGATAAAGTGGTTATGTATTGTACAGTTACCATAAGTTAACTTACCTCTTTTATGTTGCTGATAAAGTGGTCGTGCATTGTACAGTAACCATAATTTAACTTACCTCTTTTATGTTGCTGATAAAGCTGATTAAGTGGTTATGTATTGTACAGTTACCATAAGTTAACCTACCTCTTTTATGTTGCTGATAAAGTGGTCGTGCATTGTACAGTTACCATAAGTTAACTTACCTCTTTTATGTTGCTGATAAAGTGGTCGTGCATTGTACATGGTGTTACCATAAGTTAACTTACCTCTTTTATGTTGCTGATAAAGTGGTCGTGCATTGTACATGCAGTTACCATAAGTTAACTTACCTCTTTTATGTTGCTGATAAAGTGGTCGTGCATTGTACAGTTACCATAAGTTAACTTACCTCTTTTATGTTGCTGATAAAGTGGTCATGCATTGTACAGTTACCATAAGTTAACTTACCTCCTTTATGTTGCTGATAAAGTAGTCATGTATTGTACAGTTATCATAAGGGAACTTACCTCTTTTATATTGCTGATGAAGTGGTTATGCATTGTACAGTTACCATACGTTAACTTACCTCTTTTATGTTGCTGATAAAGTGGTCGTGCATTGTACATGCAGTTACCATAAGTTAACTTATCTCTTTTATGTTGCTGATAAAGTGGTTATGTATTGTAGAGTGATCATAAGTTAGCCTACCTCTTTTATGTTGCTGATAAAGTGGTTATGTATTGTATAGTTACCATAAGTTAACTTACATCTTTAATGTTGTTTATAAAGTGGTCGTGCATTGTACATGCAGTTACCATAAGTTAACTTACCTCTTTTATGTTGCTGATAAAGTGGTTATGTATTGTAGAGTTATCATAAGTTAGCTTACCTCTTTTATGTTGCTGATAAAGTGGTTATGTATTGTATAGTTACCATAAGTTAACTTACATCTTTAATGTTGTTTATAAAGTGGTTATGTATTATACAGTTACCATAAGTTAACTTACCTCTTTTATGTTGCTGATAAAGCTGATAAAGTGGTTATGTATTGTACAGTTACCATAAGTTAACTTACCTCTTTTATGTTGCTGATAAAGTGGTCGCCTCTTTTATGTTGCTGATAGAGTGGTTATGTATTGTACAGTTACCATAAGTTAACTTACCTCTTTTATGTTGCTGATAAAGTGGTCGTGCATTGTACAGTCATCATAAGTAAACTTACCTCTTTTATGTTGCTGATAAAGTGGTTATGTATTATACAGTTACCATAAGTTAACTTGCCTCTTTTATGTGGCTGATAAAGTGGTCGTGCATTGTACATGCAGTTACCATAAGTTAACTTACCTCTTTATGTTGCTGATAAAGTGGTCGTGCATTGTACATGCAGTTACCATAAGTTAACGTGCCTCTTTATTGTGGCTGATAAAGTGGTCGTGCATTGTATAGTTACCATAAGTTAACTTACCTCATTCATGTTGCTGATAAAGTGGTCGTGCATTGTACATGCAGTTACCATAAGTTAACGTGCCTCTTTATTGTGGCTGATAAAGTGGTCGTGCATTGTATAGTTACCATAAGTTAACTTACCTCATTTATGTTGCTAATAAAGTGGTCGTGCATTGTACATCCAGTTACCATAAGTTAACTTACCTCTTTTATGTTGCTGATAAAGTGGTTATGTATTGTAGAGTTATCATAAGTTAGCTTACCTCTTTTATGTTGCTGATAAAGTGGTTATGTATTGTATAGTTACCATAAGTTAACTTACATCTTTAATGTTGTTTATAAAGTGGTCGTGCATTGTACATGCAGTTACCATAAGTTAACTTACCTCTTTTATGTTGCTGATAAAGTGGTTATGTATTGTAGAGTTATCATAAGTTAGCTTACCTCTTTTATGTTGCTGATAAAGTGGTTATGTATTGTATAGTTACCATAAGTTAACTTACATCTTTAATGTTGTTTATAAAGTGGTTATGTATTATACAGTTACCATAAGTTAACTTACCTCTTTTATGTTGCTGATAAAGCTGATAAAGTGGTTATGTATTGTACAGTTACCATAAGTTAACTTACCTCTTTTATGTTGCTGATAAAGTGGTTGCCTCTTTTATGTTGCTGATAGAGTGGTTATGTATTGTACAGTTACCATAAGTTAACTTACCTCTTTTATGTTGCTGATAAAGTGGTCGTGCATTGTACAGTCATCATAAGTAAACTTACCTCTTTTATGTTGCTGATAAAGTGGTTATGTATTATACAGTTACCATAAGTTAACTTGCCTCTTTTATGTGGCTGATAAAGTGGTCGTGCATTGTACATGCAGTTACCATAAGTTAACTTACCTCTTTATGTTGCTGATAAAGTGGTCGTGCATTGTACATGCAGTTACCATAAGTTAACTTACCTCTTTATGTTGCTGATAAAGTGGTCGTGCATTGTACATGCAGTAACCATAAGTTAACGTGCCTCTTTATTGTGGCTGATAAAGTGGTCGTGCATTGTATAGTTACCATAAGTTAACTTACCTCATTCATGTTGCTGATAAAGTGGTCGTGCATTGTACATCCAGTTACCATAAGTTAACTTGCCTCTTTATTGTGGCTGATAAAGTGGTCGTGCATTGTATAGTTACCATAAGTTAACTTACCTCATTTATGTTGCTAATAAAGTGGTCGTGCATTGTACATCCAGTTACCATAAGTTAACTTACCTCTTTTATGTTGCTGATAAAGTGGTTATGTATTGTACAGTTATCATAAGTTAACTTACCTCTTTTATGTTGCTGATAAAGTGGTTATGTATTGTACAGTTACCATAAATTAACTTACCTCTTTTATGTTGCTGATAAAGTGGTTATGTATTGTACAGTTACCATAAGTTAACTTACCTCTTTTATGTTGCTGATAAAGTGGTCGTGCATTGTATAGTTACCATAAGTTAACTTACCTCATTTATGTTGCTGATAAAGTGGTCGTGCATTGTACATGCAGTTACCATAAGTTAACTTACTTATTTTATGCAGCTGATGAAGTGGTCATGCATTGTACAGTTACCATAAGTTAACTTACTTATTTTATGCACCTGATGAAGTGGTCATGCATTGTATAGTTACCATAAGTTAACTTACATCTTTTATGTTGCTGATAAAGTGGTTATGTATTGTACAGTTACCATAAATTAACTTACCTCTTTTATGTTGCTGATAAAGTGGTTATGTATTGTACAGTTACCATAAGTTAACTTACCTCTTTTATGTTGCTGATAAAGTGGTTATGTATTGTACAGTTACCATAAGTTAACTTACCTCTTTTATGTTGCTGATAAAGTGGTCGTGCATTGTATAGTTACCATAAGTTAACTTACCTCATTTATGTTGCTGATAAAGTGGTCGTGCATTGTACATGCAGTTACCATAAGTTAACTTACTTATTTTATGCAGCTGATGAAGTGGTCATGCATTGTACAGTTACCATAAGTTAACTTACTTATTTTATGCACCTGATGAAGTGGTCATGCATTGTATAGTTACCATAAGTTAACTTACATCTTTAATGTTGTTTATAAAGTGGTAATGTAATGCACATCGGCCGTAAGTCAAATCTTTGTACCTTCCCAAAATGATGGGAAATACTTGTAAGATTTCGAACCCATTACGTTGAGCAATTGTAGTAGTTTCAGCATTAATCGTGATATCTTTAGCTATTTTCTGGAAATATATATATATATATTGCACAATTAATTGATTATTATTAATTTGGCGCTGATTTACGAACAGATACGATGAGGCATGGGTGTACTTACATGAGAACATGCGGGTGAGTGTTTACATAATGGCATGTAACAGTCCAACTTGAGCTCACTTGAGACCCTATTGTGCCCTAAATTAATTTTTTTATTTAGCGATTGAAGTGATGCTACAGAATGAAATCTCATAGTGGCAAATCTTAATTTTCGCAATGGCATTGCTATGGTAATCAAACAGAATATGCCACACCTAATTGTAGAGAGTCTGGCCCTTTTTAGTCAAATTGGAGTGACGGCGCAGAACTGGGAATATGGAAAATCATAAAAAATATTATACATTTACTGATATTTCTGGGACATGGATTCGACCAATTAATTATACATTATACTTGTGTAAAATGCACACAAACCGTATTTGCATAATTAAATATGTTAAGAAGCTGGTATTCGTAAGTTCAAAATGTTTAGCACTTTGCATGACCATACCATTTTTCCATCTGGTGTTAATTTCTAAATCTGAGCAATAATAACGAAGATTATAAAACACTGCAAAAGCTCTAATGTGAATATGGGAGTGGTTCATAGATCGAGGCATACATAATTCTATCCAAAAACTAGGTTTGCAATGCAGATACAACAAGGCAGTAACATGCAAAATGGCATCACCTGCTATTTGTGGCGTCGAACACCAACCGCCGACACAAAAAAGTTGGAGGCCATAACAATATCTCACCACTTTTGGTGGCGACAATATAAAATGAACCACACCTCTCCGAGGTCATAAAATGTAGAATCCACGCTACATGAACTCAAAAATTGCAGATAGAACAAAATTGCAACAATGTGATGTTGTCACATACATGTATGTCATTGACTAAATTCTTATATCTATTTTGCATTACCTTACATCTATTAGAACCCATTGTCTTCATAACTAACTTGATCCCAGTTAGTCCCAGCTCTTTCAGCGTGGACATCAGGAGCGGAAAGTCGCTATTATCAAGACTTTTAAAGCGTCCAACCACTAGCACAGTACTGCTAGAATTCTTAACTGGTTGAGACCTGAAAGTCAGAGAGCAAACGTGAGGCCCAGTTTTTAAATACTAATTCATACTACTTCATAGTTTTGGGGTGTTGGGATTTGTTTCATTGGTTGTACTTATGCTGCGTTTTTTATTCTCTTTGATTCATTAATATTAACAGATTGTATTAACGGATTGTTAAACTTATTATTCCATCCATTAATAAATTGATATGAACGTTCAAGGAGGATTGGAAGTCATTATTTAAACTCGACATTCTCTTGCCAGGCGTGGAACTATTTAGTAAAAATATTTCTATAAGATTCTCTTTGGACCAAGTATTTCGTTGGAAGATGGACATTAAAAATATTATGGTAATACTCAAGTTTCCCTGGCAGTTCTAGTCTTCAAAATATGAGTAATTAATATTGTAACCAAATTGGTCTACGCCGGGCAACGGAGTATCGAGTTTGAATAACGGCATCCGATTCTCCTTGATTTACGTTTATATATTTATATGAAAAATACATATATTTTTCATGCACTCCCTGTACATTAGATTACTATATGGTAATATTCAAGTTTCATTGGCAGTTGTAGTCTTCAAAGTATGAGTATAACATTGTTACCAAATTGGTCCACGCGGGCAACGGAGTATCGAGTTTGAATAACGGCATCCGATTCTCCTTGATTTACGTTTATATATTTATATGAAAAATACATATATTTTCATGCACTCCCTGTATCAATGAGTATGAAATAGGCCTTGGACGTTTGACATATTAACTTACTGATTGATGACGCAGTTTGTTTGTCATTAAATGCATGGCAAATTAACTGTTCTAACCTAATGGTAGATATAAATAAAAATCTCACATGTTCACAAGTGTTTTTAGAGCTACGTTGATAGGAGGCGGATCTTTTTGAAGGCCGAGATAGTAGAGAAAACTGACATTTGTGCGTCCTCTGTTAATGTTGTTATATACAAGAGATTCATGAGACATCTCCCATTCCGTAAGACTGCCATTGATATATTCCATCATATAATACATTATTCCACGTAGAGTCGAGTCCCCAAGGAAGAGAATCTAAAACATTCACATTTACATTAAGTTCGCTTGGTTAAAATTGACATCACTTCTAATCTTAGTTTTAAAGATAATTGTAATCAGAGTAATAGATATGTATTTAGCGTTCACCTTTTGGATTATTTGATTAAAAATAGGGCGAACCCACTGGGATAATGACAGTAGATCCATATTAGTAATTAGAATATATTACGCACTACAACAGGACTTACATTTTTTCCATCGTAGCTACGTTGTACCGCCTTTAGTGATGGCCTATGGTGACTGCATTTGTTAGGCTGCCATAATGCCTGTTTCCAATAGCAACTGTTAGCATCAGAACAATCCGCACATGGTACCAACCAAGCCCCTATATAAAGACCAATATCGGGAGACTGAAGAAATAATTTATAGGCAGTTTGAATTTATCTGAAAACTATCTTTGGTGGACATAGGAAGTGGGTGTGGGTGATTCCAAGGCTCACATTATGAGGGTATCCTTTTTAGGAAAGGCCTGTCACATCCACAATTATTCCCAAAGCAACACAGACTACAGGGACTATGATGTAGCTCTTGGAATTCACCTCAAAAGAATGAAATTGCTGTTCTTACTATTTACCTGGTTCGTTTCCAGACTCACATTCTGGTAGTTTGGCGTTCTGTGTCTTTACCGTGTTCCAAGAGTCATTACCAGTTGCTTGCAGTCCGCATGGCTCTTTTGGAAAAATCATTTTGTCACATTCCTGCCTCATTAGACACACGTTATGATTAACTTTTTTGGGAAAACGCCCTCGTTTACCCCGACTTCGTCGAGTAAGAATCAATGTGTATTGAGCTGGTTTAACTTTATTTGGTTCAGCCACGCCTATGTCTACTACATATATGGGGATTTTCGTTGCCTTTGAGATGCCAACCACAAATACTTTCCTGTGTATTAAAAATAAAACAAGTGATGTTTGTTGTTTACACACAGCTATATCAGCTACATAAAAAGGATTAACCAGGGATAGAGTCCATGGGTACACTTCGGGTATTTGCAAATTCCGAGTCATACGTGCTGCAATAATTTTACAATGATTTGATTTATACCTCAAATATTGGAACCAGAAAGATAAGATGTGACTCTGTATGTTTATTATCGTATTGTAATTTATGTTTTTGCTAAAAGCGAAATGTTGGTAATGTGTAAAAGAAGACTGGAAAATTAATTTACCTTCATTGATTTTGCAATTTTACTATTTGAGTCCTCTTGAAAATGGCCACATATTTATTTGAATAATTCTTGAAAATTGTTTCTACAATTGTACTCATTATTTTTCTAACGTTTTGATTAAGTATCCTCGAGAGAATTACATGAATTATGGCTTGTTGGCTTTGCACTCTAACATTGCCCCCTGACACTGGCATAGTCTTGTTTGTTGTTGGTCCTACCTTGTAGTCTTTGTTTTGCCGAGCCAACCTTCGGCGTGACAATATTCTGCAGTCGACCAGACAGAAACCATCCATATAAGGTAATCAAGCTCGATGTTATAAACGAACTTTCCTCTTTTAAAGTCGATATCCAGAGGCGGATCACTGTGTATGCCGCTCAGATAAGGGAAAGATTGAGTTCGATTTTGGTTGCAAGTTTTTATTTTTGTTTTGTTCACATCAATGGAAAGTTCTGCACTTGAGAAATTTGCATTTTTCTCTGGTGAATAGCTCTTCAATATAGTGCTTGTGATTTTGTTTGTTTGTTTCCCAAGATAAGGGGAAGATTGATTTCGGTCTTGTTTACTTGTTTCTGTTTTGTTTACAGCAACAAAACGTTGTATACTTGAGTGAGATGAATTTTCCACTGTTGAATAGCTCTCACTTAACGGGATTGTGACTTTCTTTCTTTGTTTGCTGTTGGTAACATTTCTAACTAAAAAAAATATGAAAATTTATATTCAATAACATTTAACTCATTGTCATTTTATATGTTAGATTGTTCATCCCTCGGCTAGAACTTGAGGCATGATTGGTCTTAAAAGTTCTGAAATCGCCTTTTTCTTTTTTGGTGCATGGTTATTAACATTTTTCCACGTTAGTGGATTTTTCTTCCAGTCAAACTATCAAAGGGGGGGGGGGGAGCAACCCCCCAAAAATAAGATTTGTTTTGAATTATACAAAAAATGATGTACTTCCTTCAAAATTGAGCTAAAAGCTTCAAATAAAAAGCATTTTAAAGCTCTTTGATCACTCTATCTAATGGTTCCATTGTTATTTGTTAGGGGGGGGGACGCATATTGAAGTTAGGCCTATCAATAACTCGGTGAATCGTGTCCAATGATATTTGGTCAGTTGATCTCATGTTCATCAGTTCTGTTGGGATGGATTTTGTAAAACCCTCAAGTGATCACAGGGATTGGCGTCTGGAGAGTATGATGGCCATATGTAAGGGGTCCTGGTTGAGATAAGCCGCCTATCCCCATGAATTACTCCATCTTGATATTCCAGGCTGCTGTTAGAGCAATGAGAAGGTGCTCCATTCTAATGGGAAAATTACACTTCGTTCTCATTCTTTCCCGTCTGCTCCGTCGCAAGGCAGGTAGGAAACACTCGCAAATCAGATGCTAGTACCTTTCCCATACTGCTTCTCAACATTGCCTTATAGCAGCCCAGAATATCACATTCTGCTTGCTGACATGCCCAGATTGGTGGCTTCGTCATACCTGGCATTCACTAAAATTGACATGATGATTTGATTGGCAGCACCAAAATTCTTGTTCATCTCAAAATGTTTGAGACCAATCATGCCAATATTAAATTATCAATGATTATTATTTAATGGGGACTTTAAAAACAGTAACATTTTTGATCCACCCTGTACTTATAACCCGTTGGTATTTTTAGTCCTTTTTACTTTTTTCGTGATATGTTTACGTTTAGCTGTGTTATACTTACTCAATGCTAAAGTTTGGAATTCATCATATGTAGTAGTATCTTCCTTGTTCCTTGTGGATTTTAAGACTTTAAATTTGTTATATCGTTCCCTATACGTGAACGACATAGAGCCATTATTGAGTATAGCAATAAGCACTGTCGTTAAAATGACGCAACAAACGATTAAGCGAAAAAAACATGATGGTGATGATAATCCAAGTTTTTCTTTCAGTCGCATTCTGTTTTTATTTACCTTTTCCAGATTTATGCTGAGTGTCTTTCCGAGTAAGCCTGACTAGCGTATACATATTAAACTGTACAGTAAAATTCATAAAATGTATTTATAGTAGTTGGCATGCTGGTTTCAATTGATCACCCAGGCTTGTAAAAATTCAAGCCGTTAACCCCGTTCACAGCTGGGTGATTGCCGTTAACACACAAATATGATTCACTTCGCTTCATCTACATGTATATACAAAGCAACGTTAGATGTGGATTCGCGAATCGGAGGTCATCGCCAAATTACACCCCAGTCACATTTCCCACGGCCGCCGTGCGGTCTATCATTTCTGCAGCCAGTAGCTTTTCTACGCTCGCCGCAGAATTCCTGCGCTCTCATACTTTTCCAGTTACATTTCCCACGGCAGCCGCACGGTGAATTTTAAATTTCTGTTGATAAATAATACTTTTTTCATTTTATTTACATCAGGACAATTCATAAATGTTATTCATAGTGCTAGGATGTGATATCAAATGAAAAGTGATCGTGAAACATTGACAATTAATGATTCAATCTTGTTGAACCAGTTGATTTCTACAGGGACCTCAGAAATGAACAAATATTACAACTCCGAGTTATAATTTCTACGGCGACCCTGCGGCCTGTAAAAAACTGGATACGCCGTACGGAGGCCGCAAGGCGAGCGTAGTTTTCCTACGCTCGCCGCAGAAATACACCGATTTAATTGATCTGCGGTCGACGCACGCCCTCCGTACGACAAATGTGACTGGGGTGTTAGCGTTGCACTTGCGAATGATTTTTTGCAAAGGATAGGTATCGATATGGTGAACTGAATTCAACAATGTTTTTCTCTTAAACCAATTATTGAAAACATTCTGTAAAAAAACACGGTATTTTATGTAATGTTGACTGATTGACAACAATTTAATGCGAAAATTATTTATAAATATTTAGTATAACTGTTTTTGTTAACATTTTTTTAGTGCAATATTGTTTTTGCTCCTTTCTACCAATTCTTGAGAATGAAATAAAATGTCTTTCCGAACCTTGTTGGAACAAAATAGCATATACAACATATTATTAGACCTCTCAATAGTATAGTTATACAAAGGAATTTTTGGTTGATTTTAAAAAGGTATTCAAAAAGTTAAAACAAAATCCCCCCCCCCCCAAAAAAATAGATAAAACTCAACCTTTTATTTCTTTAACAAGATACTTTTTTAAAATCAACCAAAACTTCCTTTGTACTACTACAATATTGAGAGACCTAGACACGTTGTGTTTATGTCGTTTTGTTCCAATGAGGTTCGGATAGATGTTTCATTTCATTCCGAACATATGATACCAAGAACAAAATAAGTGTCTGAGGTGTTTTCTAAAACAATATAGAGAAAAATATGAATATTTTTTTCAAACGTTATCGTTACCATTCAAAAGATGACCATTAAATTGACGATATGTAAAATTTTCAGAATTTTTTGATGACTGGTTTAAGAGAAACGTGTGTTCAAAAAGTTCACCATATCGATACCACTTATTTCACTATGTTGCCCTTTGAACACGCACGGTGTTGAAAGGAGGCCATTACTATTATCACAGCCTATTGAAAACTAAGTACAAAACTATGGCCAGCCACTATTGCTAAAGTCAATACGGTAAAATATAAGCCTTCTGAACAAGTACTTATACCCCGAGAACAGGCCTCGTGAGGTGTTGATAATATAGGTTTTTGTATGACAACTAGGATATTTCATAAGACCATGCGACCAATGCGGGCAACATAGTGAAATCTTGACTCATCGGGGTCTGGGATGACGCAAATAAGGTGGAGTTTGCGTCATGATAATCATCTGATCTACGCCGACGCAGCTTTACGATGACTCCTTAACCCTATACGCCCTAATGGGGGGGGGGCAAAATGACCCCCACAGTTACGTTTTTTCTCTGAAACTTTTTATTGGCATCAAGTAGGATCTTCAAATTCTCAGTACCTGGAGCCACAGATATACTGTACATGTATCACACTTATTCCGAAAAAATACCTCATCCTTTCATCTACACCACATCCTTTCATGTGCACTTTCATCCTATGTCAAATTACATCCAATCAACTTTCTTCAAACCTTTATTCCGCCAATCAAATATTTTTTAGCTTTATTTGTCCAATGCCTATGTAGCATGGTTATAAACATGTTGGAATAGGCTGCTACGACGTTCCCGTTGACATGGTAGTTTTCTAGTTTTCGACCCTACATAGAATAAATGTAAAATCATTCATGAATATCATTATGTTGATGTATATATTGTTAATAGTTACATTTGAGATTTAATGTTATGATATTTCTTCAATCAAGTTTTGTATGTTTTTCCTAACTGGGACTGTTTTAAAGCATTATTTTTGATTAACGTCCATAGGCCGTAAAAGAGAACATTTAAGCATTATACTTTTTTAAAGTAAACTGTTACGATAATTCAAAATAGTTCGTTTTGTCAGTACAAGAAATATGTTCGGAAACAAGGAAATGGTGGTGCGCGACATAAGATTTCACGTTCGCGATATGAGATTCGTGGTTCGAGTGCAAGGAACGTAGTTCGCGGTATCAGAACTGATGTTCGCGTTGTTGGAAGTCTAGGAGGCCTGGTTTATGTGACTGCTGATAAAGTGATAATGTATTTCACATTAACCATTAGTTCACATTCTTCTTTTATATGTTTTGATAAAGCGATAATGCAATGCAAAGTTACCATAAATTAACATACCTCTTTTCTGTTGCTGATAAAGTGGTAATGCATTGCACAGTTACCATAAGTTGCATCTTTGTACATTGGCATGATAATAGGGAAAACTTGTAGGATTTCAAATCCGCAACGCTGAGCGATCGCCGTAAGGTCAGAATTTGTATTAACAGCAGCAGCCACATCTACCTGAAAATATTTTTTAAACAGATTCAATGTTGTAACAATACATTTTATTGATATTTCTATACTACGTTTATTACACGACTTATATTACAACCCAACGTATGTTTTTATTACCCGACGTTCTTTATTACCTGACGTATATCACAACCCAACATATGTTTTTATTAACCGACGTATGCTATTATCCGACGTATATTACAACACAACGTATGTCTTTATTAACCGACGTATGCTATTACCCGACGTATGTTACAACCCAATGTATGTTTTTATTAACCGGCGTATGTTATTACCCGACGTATATTACAACCCAACGTATGTTTTTATTACCCGACATATGTTATTACCTGACGTATATCACAACCCAACGTATGTTTTTATTAACCGACGTATGCTATTACCCGACGTATATTACAACCCAACATATGTCTTTATTACCCGACGTATGTTACAACCCAATGTATGTTTTTATTAACCGACGTATGCTATTACCCGACGTATATTACAACCCAACGTATGTTTTATTACCCGACGTATGTTATTACCCGACGTATATTACAACCCAACGTATGTTTTTATTACCCGAAGTATGTGACGTATGTTTTTATTACCCGACGTATGTTATTATCCGACGTATATTACAACCCAACGTATGTAATTATTACCCGACGTATGGTATAACCCGATGTATATTACAACCCAACGTATGCTATTATTACCCGACGTATGTTATTACCTGGCATCTACTGAAACCCATTGTCTTCATAACTAACTTGATCCCAGTTAGTCCCAGCTCTTTCAGCGTGGACATCAGGAGCGGAAAGTCGCTCTTATCAATATTCTTAAAGCGTCCCACCACTAGCACAGTACTGCTAGAATTCTTAACTGGTTGAGACCTGAAAGTCAGAGAGAGCAAATGTGAGGCACAAATTGAATGTTTTATTCTTACAAAGAAGTCGGTTTGCGGTCGTACCCCTTTATGTTTTTCTGTCACTCATGTTTTCTTTATACAATGATTATATTACTTCCCGGTAAATCAAACAGGTGATTATAACTGATTTTAAAAAAGAACATTCTTAAAAATTGATCCACCTATTTGTCAAAATTATTAATCGTATTTACTTGGTCGTCCACTTATTTTATTCTTTATCGTTTTTTATTTAAGCCCTGGACTTATTGCTATGTGTATTGACCATTCCTTGAAGGCGCTGCTTTCCAAAATTTGCACGAGATGCGCATCATTGATAGGAAACAATGCCTGAAAGGAATGGTCATTCTACAATGCAGTGAGTCTTGGGCTGAAATTCTTTTCACATATTGCAAAATATTTTCTACTGTGCCACGAAATCAGTAAAAAAGAACATATTTTCACTGAAACTTTGCAATGATCAAGTTGGTAAAGCATCAATTCAAAAGTGAAGATACCTTGACAACCACATAAGGAGTGACCTTGGATGCGTGATTGGTGACATAATACATAGCAGTAATATGAAACACTCTGGAATCGGACACACCTTGCCTAGCCATGTGTGAATCATTAATTATGTACTCGCATTTATCATTAAACTGTTCAAAGATGTATTGTAGATTTCATGCATATAATACTACCCACATAATGCGACAAGTTAAAAATGAGATAATTATCTATGTTCATGTTTAACATATTTTGCACATAAATACATGTTTGATTCTGGTATCTGCATTAGATAAATATAAATGCGGAACGAATTAATTCAGTCAATGAGGCACCTGCACTTGTGTAAAAGAGATCATATTAAAATATGTTTTATGACCATTACATACTATATGTTTGTACTTCACATTATAGGGTGATTATTATTATATACGAGACAGACGAGGCGCTTGCATCGTCGCTTTTTAACAACCTTTCAAAAATATTCCTCTATCGATGATTAGTTGTAAATCAGTTGTATAACTTTTATCGATTTTTAATCTAAATCATCATTCGCACGCTCGGCAAGGCGTGTCCGATTCCAGCCAATCCGAACACAGTATTTCATATAACTGCAGTGGGTTATATCACCAATCACTGCACCCAAGGTCACTTGGTTGTCAACATTTGTCAAGATGACAAGTTGACTGTCCAGATTGAAATTGATACTTTGCCAACTTGGCCCTTGCAAAAAAATTCATTGAAATTGTGTCCTTTTAGTGATTTTGTATCTTTAAGTGATTTCGGAGAAAATATTTTGCAATGTGTGAAAAGAATTTAAGCTCAAGACTCAATGCATTGTGGCTGCTTCATTCCACTCGCGCGTTTTTTCTCATCTCATCACGTAAGAGATATGTTTTTCTATTGCCATCGTCGAACTAAGTTCATATTTTAATGATGTTTTTATAAGTATAACTTTGCGTTCATACTTCCAAGGCATAAGTTTAGAATCTGAATAATGGAAATGTTGTAGCGTAGCCAGGATGAGACAGTCGAGGCGCTTGCCTCGACCAGGCTTTGGAAATACTTTTCGCCTAGTCGCTTCTTAGCTACACCACTGGATTTTCATATGCAAACATCTTACAATTTTATCAATGTTTTCAGAGCAGTTTTGATAGTGGGTGGATCTTCATCGAGGCCGGGATAGTACATAAAACTCATATTTGTGCGTCCTCTGTTTATGTTATTGTATAGGAGTGCCCCATGGGACATTTCCCAATCAGTGAGGCTTCCATTAAGATACTCAAGTATATAGTACATCATCCCGCGAAGAGTGGAATCGCCAAGGAAAAGAATCTACAATAATTTTAATAACACAATATTTATATACAGGGTGTCCACTAATTGATCTCCTTTCAAGGGTTGTAGAGTTTTTTTTGTTTTTTTTATTCATTTATTAAAATCATATAAACATATATTGACATTGACATATTGACAATAAATTTGTATTGTAATTGTAAAGAGACTCTATGATATTTCTCATAAAAAGAGCAACATTTTTAATTCAATGCAATTGTTCAAAAAGGAAGCTTACACAACATTAATTGCCTTACATTTTTATCATCGTAGCTGCTTTCTACCTCTTCCTTAACAGGCATATGATAGCTACATTTTCTACCGTAAGGCTGCCACATTGCCTGTTTCCAATAGCAACTGTCGTCATCAGAACACTGAACACATGGTACCAGCCAACTCCCTGGATAACAAGATAAAACAACTGCAGATCTATAGAGTTGACTCTCCGAGGAGAGAAATAAATATTTATGGGCTAAAGTGCATAAATCGGCCATTTGAAAATGAACACTTTAAGTATACTAATGACTCCCCTATAAAACATCCCAACTGGTATTGAAGTAGATGAGGGTTAAGAAACTAGAAGCAAGGCTTATCCTCAACTCATGATATAAAATCCAGCGGGACAGAAACCTTGTATTAGCCTAACTATAAAGATATAGATAAAAGAGCATGAGGCATCGGACTTGAAGACCATCTCGTCTAGCATAACAGATAAAGTAAATTGAAAGTCGTCAATTAAATGTTTTGGCACTTACCCTGTATGTTTGCAGACTCGCATTCTGGTAGCTTGGCGCTCTGGCTTGTAAAAGTGTTCCATGAACCATGACCAGTCGCTTGCAATCCACACGGTTGATCAGGGAAAATCATTTTGTCACATTCTTGTTTTATAAGGCACACACTATGATTGGCGTTTCTGGGCAACATCCCAAGTTGGCCACGAGGTCGCCGGGTGAGTATCAATGTGTAGTAGATTCGAGAATGCATATGTCGAGCCATATCAGTGTCTACCACGTATATTCTTATTGTTAAGGGCATCGACAGACCAATCACAAAACTTTCCCTATAAATCAAAGATTAAATACTAGAATAGTATCATGTTCATTAAAAATTAGTTCTTCCAAATACGTCCTTGATTCTTCAAAACATTTTGTTTGGAGTTTAAGGTGCAATTTAGACTAAACGAGTTGATATAATTTACAAAACCTTGTGTATCACAATTCTACAATTTCTGCTTCTTTATGAATCTTCCACACTTGTTGTCCATACCTTATATTTTCTCTTTTGCCATCGAGCCAACCTTCAGCGTGACAATATTCCGCTGTCGACCAAATTGAAACAGTAAAGATGTGGTAGTCAACGTCGATCTTGTAAACAAACGTTTCCCTTTTAAAGTCAATATTTACAGATGGGTTGCTATATATGCCGCTGAGATATGGGAAAGACTGGGTCCGGTTTTGGTTGCATGTTTTTTTGTTCACAGCATCCGGATGTTGTGTTCTTGAGTGAAATGAATTCCCTCGTGGTGCATAGCTCGTCCGTATCGTGCCGGTTGTGATTGTGTTTGTCTCTTTGCCGTCCTTCACATTGTTATCTGAATAGGACCAGATATCAAAAACAGATTTGTAGAAACCAAATGCAGTAATCTTTCCAGTAATGCATCGGTCACATTTCATCTACGGCAATCGTAGCTTCCCAAATCGAGAGAAATGATATGCCGCATAAAATAAAGGGATATAGTAATACGCGTAGATGTAGATTTTCTATATCGATTTTGTAAAGCTACGACCGTTGTCGGGTCGTATGACTGTCGTACTCGACTCGTAGAGAAAATGTGACTGAGGCTTTATAGAAATTCAATTTTACAATTACTAGTATCTCTGAGCATGCAAAGTATTAACAGACACCCACATCGTGTGGAATTACAGCTCAAACTGCCGAATTACTATCCACCCCGGGAAATGATCGCTGATCGCTCCTTATTTCCGGCAGACCCCACGACGGCAAAGATACCCCCATACTTGGCCCCAGTGCAATTCAACAAAAAACAGAGGAGCTGCATGTCGGGATACCACTTAGGAACCACAACGACCTGGTAAAACAAACGATGTTCAAATCAATACAGAAATATTTCTCGTTGACTTGGCTCTTTAACAGGAGGTCTTTGCCCATTAATGGCCAGTAAGTTATATATAGCAAGCTACTGTACGGTTGTCAGGTAATAGACTATAATATCCACGCATGAGATAGAGCAAGTGGAAATATCACACCATGAAATCGGAAGAAGAATTCAGGAACTACCAAAAATTTCGCCGAACCCGATTGTAGGTTCAGGCCTTGGATGGCTTTCTATTAGAAGACAGATAGACTTTTCAAGGATGATGTTCTTCTGGAGTATAATAGTGTTACTAATGAATAATATTTACAAAACAGTCTTGGTTCATAGATTGCTGTGGTTTATAGGGGGTAATGGACGGCATAACTCTCCACTTTCCATCATTTGGAGAACACTTGAACGGTACACTTTTGCCAATTTGTCTATGAACATATAAGTCTTGGGGATATCTCTCTAAATCAGATTTAAACGCATTGTAAGTAATGGGGTTTGTCCATTGCGCTGCAGTTCAAGAGACACTATTGAACATTTTATACTTCAATGTGATACCTATGGACGACAGACTTTACTCACATTGTTGGAGAGTGAAGACCGTAGGGCTAAGCTCAAGCTTAGAGAGCATCGACTCACTCTGCTCCATATCACTTGTAATATATTCCATGCATTGAGCCAGGGTATCAATGATCTAAGCCATGTAGGACAATTCTTACTGCACAATTAACTTTACTTATTTTAAATAATAATTTTATTTTATGTAACTGTCTATGTAACTATTTTAGACGCAATTAAATGATCACAAGCAAATAGTATAGTTTCCATGTAGCTTTTGAAATCTCGCTAAATCTCGTTTTTCGTGAGATTTTAAGAGACTTGAATATTAGACCTCTAATGACTTACATTATCTTCTTTTAAATGGTATATTTGAATTCAGTGAATTGTTTTCTCCTAAAATAGCTTTGATTTACACAGTTATGTAATTTGAATAATTTTCTATGACAATTTAAAAAAACTTGGGCCAAATGTCCATAGATGCAATGCTAAAATTCTTTAAAACCGTGGATTATTTGTATGTCAATCAACATTTGCATGTTTAATCACAACATGTACATAAACAGGGTCATCATGTGGTATAGCATTCAAGTTTTATACAGATTCAACAAACACACTTTGATAAATCATGAAATTAAGCCACTTTTCCAAGATTTTAGCATGTAAGTGAATGGAGCTCTAGCCTAAGTTAAAAGCTAAATAAAAGATGGCAGCACAAGATTTCATTGATTTTTCTGCTATTTAGAAACTATCCTATTGAGCTGAGTAAATGGGTAGAAATTGAATTAATTGCTGAGATAATAAGCCCGCATCATATGTACGTTGAGACACGCTAGGTATACAGTTAGACGAATGGAATCAAGTAAAGTAATTAGTAAATAGTAATGGATAAATACAAACAATACCTTATTTTAGTATACTCTCCTCCGTAAAGGCATTTCTGTTATTTTTGGATTACCCGATATGTGACAACCAACTTGGTACACTTGTAACCAATGGGACAATCGGGGACTATCGATCAGGGATTAATAAAAGTAAGTCGATCCTCAATTTGAAGCACGACTGTACAATTCACGTATTGTTGTCCATATACTGTGCGAGGTTATGGTTCAAGGAAGCATTTGAAAAATTGCTATACCTGCCCATGTTATTTTCTCGTACAAAATAAATAGACTAAACAAAGTATGAAGACATGAGTGTATTTCCTTCAGGAAATGCTGAAAGACAGTCAAAATGGCAGCCTTTTGAATTTTTCAAACATCTTCTCAAAGTTCTAAAAAAATGGAAAATTTTACATGGTATTTACCCTCAAAATATTTATTTGAAGAAATGTAACATAGAAAACTCTGACATCTGTAACTTTTGTAACGCACATGTAAAAGATGACATTGACCACTTCTTTATCAATTGTGACTGTATTAAATCAATTTGGAATGATGTAAATGTTACAAATGATCAAAAAATTGGAAATGCAATTGTTAAAAAAGAAGATTTACTTAAAACATTGGTAATTAAAAAAGCTATACATGATTTTAAAAAAAGGGTCAATACAGCTTGTAATGTAAAAGCCATTTTTGATACTGAGATAATGATCAGAAAGATGTAATGTAACTTGAAATTTCTATAATTGTTTTTTATCTAATTGTATGCATGTAATGTAAAATATGTTTATTAATAAAGTTTGATTTTATAAAAAAAAAATTCTTCTCAAAGTTCTAAACAAGACATGATTGATCGCGTACAATTTATACCTAATTCACTGCAAGATGCAACAAGAATGCTTTCCTGAAAAAATAAGGAAGTACACCCATTACTATATTTTGAACCTGAAAATAATATGTACTGGTTAAGCAATTTTCAAAAATGTTTTTTTCACATGTCCCTTAACTTACCTAATATTGCGTAATTGTAAGATGCATCATCTTTGGTTATTGTGTCTACAACATATGACACTGCCAGTATTGTGACGATTACAAACAATGGTAGAACGCACATTATTGATGATCCAAGTTTTTGTTGAAACTGCATTATGTTTCTTTTAACAATTGAAATATTTGGGGATTTAATCCTGTTTGACCTTTGTTGATAATCCTGTTTTGAGATCCAAATACGTGAATTAACTTACTCTTTCCCGATGACTTTATTAATGTACTTATACTGTAAATATGTTTCGATCCACCATAACTGTATATTATATGTTTTGTACTACTCTGTTTAAATACAGGTTCATAAATGAATAATAATAATACTATTGAATTGTCTGCCCGTATAAACTTTAGATAATTCAATATCAGCTGCAGTGGGTGTTGTATTTAGTATTATAGCGCGCCTTTGGGGATTATAGGATACCGTAATATTTGGCCAATTCACACATACTTCACATAGCTAGGCAAGGTATGTCCAATTCCAGCCAATCAGAACACGCTATTTGACGTTACTGCATTCTGTTGCATAACCATTGAGAATTAAAATTCAACACGTTTGAAATTAGAGTTGAATTATTTTATTTCCGGTTGATATAACGTCGTAACGTTGGTGAAATCGAACGCGATTTCAGGCCGAGGAAGCCTCTTTGTACTGATTTCAGTGTTTGATTGGCAAAAATCACTGGACCATGACACTAAAATTTGGCGCTTACACCCCAGTTACATTTCCTACGGCGACCGTGCGGTCTGTCATTTCTGCGGGCAGTAACATTTCTACGCTCGCCGTGGAATTTCTGCGGTCGGATACTTTTGCAGTCACATTTCCTATACGGCAGCCGCACGGCGAGTTTATGAATCTCTGTGGATTTAACGTTAATTCTTCTTTTTATTTTATCTACAGTCAAAACAGAAATGTTAGCAAGTACTTTGAATTTAAAAAATAAGCAATCAAATGACCATATTGAAACCGTTTATGTAAAAATAGAAACATTTATATTTATCCTAACTTTTGTATATTTTAGTTTGTTTTCTAGTTTAGCTATCATATCTGTGTCCCCTTATATTTTGATACTTCTCTGCCATGTTATTTTCGGAAAAATTAACATGGCTGAAACTCCCTAAATTACAAAAGGCCACAGCTTTGCTGCACATTATACATTACTATCTGAAATATACAAAAGTTAGGATAAATATAAATGTTTCTATTTTTACATAAACTGTTTCAATATGGTCATTTGATTGCTTATTTTTTAAATTCAAAGTAGTCACAAACATTTCTGTTTTGACTAGAGTCCATTTCACTGCTTTATTGCGTCAGTAGAACCCCAAAAATAAGAAATCAAGAGACCATTGTGCAATAATATATGGAAAAGTATATTCATAATGTACATGGATGACATTTGTTTATTTCAGATTTTTCAGTTTTTTGTGTAATAAGCCTGTGCCCTCTTGTAATTTGAAGAATTTCAGCCATGTTAATCTTATTGAAAATAGCATGGCAGAGAAGCATCCAAATTTACCTTCTTCTAAGGCCATTGTATCGTGGCCTTCCAGTACTGATATATTCCCGCATGAACAACTGGTCATGTCGTAATCATAAAATTTGAAATCATATGTCCGCCATTTTTCCACATCACAATTTGAATTGCGAGTTTTGGTCTTATTACTTCACCAAAAATTCCAAAACACACATAAAGTGATCAGTGTATTAGTTCACATCTTCTGGATCGCTAACTTAGATTTTACAGCCAG